ATCTACAAAAATAAGTTTGTAATAAAATGCTTTTGATGTGTGCTTGGTTTCAGCTATTTTTCGTAATGTTTTGATACTAAATGCAAAAAAAAATCCTGAACTTAAAAATGTAAATTATTAATACTTTGTATAAATGTTCACTGTAAACTTCAAACGAAATTGTAATCGTGCATGCTGGTTCAGGACATTTTAATCCACTTTATGTTGAAAATGTATTTTTTATTGTTTTTCTTTTCACGGACTAAAGATTTGCCGTCTAGTTATGGAATGACATGATGTTTGACATGGATTAAAGGGAAGTCAGAGACGAATGCTGAGACATACTCAGATTTTTTAGCACAATCACTCAGAGGATTTGTTACATAAGCTGTGTTTTCCCGTGCATTTATACATACACTGCTAAGCAGATTAAAGTGATTTTCTAGCTGAATCCTAGTCAGCAGGACATGATATTTCCATTTAATGACAGCTCCACGCTCTCTGTGTGTCCTTCTATCAATTGAAAGAAAATAGAGGGTATGTGTTCATTTCAGTTAGTTTTTTCAGTCTTATTATAAATACTAATTATCTTCTTTCTTTTTGAGATAAACCTTAAACAGATCTATCAAACTATGATAAGAAAAAGGGATTTTTAGTTACTTCACATCTACAGTGAAATCAGTGCATCAATTGAACACACACACAAATATGTATATATTGTGAGTTTTTTTCAACATACTATACTATGACTTTTTTTCAACATACACTACGATGAGTGTTTTTGGGCATACTATATTATGTTTTTGTTCGACGTACTATACTATGACTTTTTTTCACATACTGTGACTTATTTTGAAATACCATATGACTTTTTTGACATACTATACATGACTTTTTTCATCATGCTATACTATGACTGTTTTTTCAAAATACCATACTATGACCTTTTTTCAACATACCATAATATGACTGTTTTTCGACATAATATACTATGACTTGTTATGGCATACTTTACTATAAGTTTTCCAAGATACTATACTATGACTTTTTTGAAAAAATGTACCATGACTTTTTTCGATAAACTATATTGTTTTTTTGACATACTACACTTTGACTTTTATCAACATACTATACTATGACTTTTTTGAGATACTCTAGAAATACTGAGAATACTATACAGACCTTTTTGAAATATTATACAATGACTTTTTATGACATACCATACTACGACTTTTTTCGACATACTATACTGTGGCTTTTTTCAACATGCTATACTATGACTTTTTATTCAATTTTGAACGACATGCTATACTATGACTTTTTCATGACATTTTGAACGACATGCTATACTATGACTTTTTTTATGATATTTTGAACGACATGCTATACTATGACTTTTTTTAATGACATTTTGAACCACATGCCATGCTATGACTTTTTTATATTTTGAACAACATGCTATACTATAACTATTTTATGACATTTTGATCGACATACGATACTATGACTTTTTATAACATTTTGAACGACATACTATACTATGACTTTTTTATGATATTTTGATCGACATACTACACTATGACTTTTTTAAAATATTTTGAACAACATGCTATAGTATGAATTTTTAATGACATTTTGATCGACATGCTATACTATGACTATTTTATAATATTTTGAACAACATGCTATACTATGACTTTTTTATGACATTTTGATCGACATACTTTACTATGACTTTTTTATGATATTTTGATCCACATGCTATGCTATGACTTTTTTATGGTATTTTGAACAACATGCAATACTATGACTTTTTTTATGACATTTTGATCAACATACTATACTAAGAATTTTTTGTGATATTTTGAATGACATGCTATACTATGACTTTTTTTATGATATTTTTAACCACATGCTATACTACGAATTTTTTATGATATTTTGAACAACATGCTATGATATGATGTTTTTAAGGTATTTTGAATGACATGCAATACTATGACTTTTTTATGATATTTTGAATGACATGCTATACTATGACTTTTTTATATTTTGAACGACATGCTATACTATGACTTCTTTATGACATTTTGATCCACATACTATACTATGATTTTTTTATGATATTTTGAATGACATGCTATATTATGACTTTTTTTATGATATTTTGAATAACATACTATACTATGACTTTTTATGATATTTTGAATGACATGCTATACTATGACTTTTTTGTGTCATTTTGAACCACATATTATAGAATGATTTTTTTATGACATTTTGATCGACATACTATGCTATGAAGTTTTTTATGATATTTTGAACAACATGCTATACTACGACTTTTTTATGATATTTTGAACGACATGCTATACTATGACTTTTTTACGATATTTTGAACCACATACTATACTACGACTTTTTTTTATAACATTTTGAACAACATACTATACTATGACTGTTTTTTTAATATTTTGAACAACATGCTATACTATGACGTTTTTTTTATGATATTTTGGATGACATGCTATACTATGACTTTTTTATGATATTTTTAACCACATGCTATACTACGACTTTTTTATGATATTTTGGATGACATGCTATACTATGACTTTTTTTTATAATATTTTGAACCACATGCTATACTACGACTTTTTTATGATATTTTTAACCACATGCTATACTATGACTTTTTTATATTTTTAACCATGTGCTATACTACAACTTTTTTATAACATTTTGAACGACATGCTATACTATGACTTTTTTATGATATTTTTAACCACATGCTACACTACAACTTTTTTATATTTTGAACAACATACTATACCATGACTTTTTTTTAATAACATTTTGAACAACATGCTATACTATGACGTTTTTTTATGATATTTTGATCGACATGCTATACTATGACTTTTTTATGACATTTTGATCGACATACTATACTATGACTTTTTTTATAACATTTTGAGCAACATACTATACTATGACTATTTTATGATATTTTGAATGACATACTTTACTATGACTTTTTTATGATATTTTGAACGACATGCTATAGTATGACTTTTTTATGACATTTTGATCGACATGCTATACTATGACTTTTTTATAATATTTTGAACAACATGCTATACTATGACTATTTTATAACATTTTGATCGACATACTTTACTATGACTTTTTTATGATACTTTGATCGACGTACTTTACTATGACTTTTTTTTAGCATATTTTGAACGACATGCTATAGTATGACTTTTTTATGATATTTTGAACAACATGCTATACTATGACTATTTTATGACATTTTGATCCACATGCTATGCTATGACTTTTTTATGGTATTTTGAATGACATACAATGCTATGACTTTTTTTATGATATTCTGAATGACATGCTATACTATGACTATTTTATAACATTTTGATCGACATGCTATACTATGACTATTTTATGATATTTTGAACAATATGCTATACTATGACTTTTTTATGATATTTTGAATGACATGCTATACTATGACTTTTTTATGACATTTTCATCGACATATTATACTATGACTTTTTTAGGATATTCTGAACAACATGCTATACTATGACTTTTTTATGACATTTTCATCGACATACTATACTATGACTTTTTTATGACATTTTCATCGACATATTATACTATGACTTTTTTTGTGATATTTTGAATAACATGCTATATTATGACTTTTTTTTATGACATTTTGATCGACATACTATACTATGACTTTTTTTATGATATTTTGAATAACACGCTATACTATGACTTTTTATGACATTTTGATCGACATACTATACTATGGCTTTTTATGATATTTTTAACCACATGCTATACTACGACTTTTTTATGATATTTTGGACGACATGCTATGCTATGACTTTTTTATGACATTTTGATCGACAGACTATGACTTTTTTATGATATTTTGAATAACGCGCTATACTATGACTTTTTTATGACATTTTGGTCGACATACTATAATATGACTTTTTATGATATTTTGGACAACATGCTATACTATGACTTTTTTATGACATTCTGAACCACATATTATACTATGACTTTTTTATATTTTGAACGACATGCTATACTATGACTCTTTTATGACATTTTGAACGACATATTATACTATGACTTTTTTATGACATTTTTAACCACATGCTATACTATGACTTTTTTATGACTTTTTTAACCACATTCTATACCATGACTTTTTTTTATAATATTTTGAACAACATGCTATACCATGCCTTTTTTCGACACTTTGATCGACAGGCTATAGTATGACTTATGATATTTTGAACAACATGCTATATTATGACTGTCTTGACATTTTGAACGACATGGTATAGTATGACTTTATCACATCTTGAGCATCATAGTATAGTAAGTAAAAAGAAAAGTCATAGTACAGTATGTCAAAAAAGTAGTATAAAATGTTGAAATAGTCATCGTATAGTACGTTGAAAAAAGTCAAAGTATATAGTATGTTGAAAAAACCTCACAGTAAAGTATGTCATAAAAGTCATAATATAGTATGACTAAAGAATCTCATTTTATAGTATGTTAAAAACGTTACAGTATGGTCTGTTGAAAAAAATTATAGTATAGTACGTCGAGAAAAACGTATAGTATAGTATTTTGAAAAAAAATTATCGTATAGTATGTCATAAAAAGTCACAGTATAGTATGTCGAGAAAAAATCATAGTATAGAATGTCGAAATATAGTCATAGTATAGTATGTTGGACAAAATCAGATACTAGAGTATTAATAAATGTTGGCTTTGACTTACCATGTTGTTTCCATCCATGGAATACATTGTACATCTTTCTGACTTTAGTGTGTCACTCATGTTTCAGATTGCTTCCTTGTCGTAAATTAATCAAAGTAAGCTAAGAAGGAAAAAAAAGAAAAACTAAAATGCTCTCGTCTGAAATAACCTAATCTAAAATCGCTCAGGGACAAAATGGCACACAGACCAAATTATTTTCAAATATTTATTCAAAATCAAGACAGTACAAAGACGGTACAAATATGTTACTTCAAAGGACCAGGCAAGTGTAATTTATAGTTAAGATATATAGTTTCTCTCGACTTATTTAAGATAAATGTAAGTTGAGATATAGTCAGATACAAGGGTTACAGCAATTAAATGAATTTTCTTTGCCTACATTTGAAGGCATTAAAGAGTAACATGGAAAGAAACTGTGAATGGAACCTAAATGTTCAACACAGACTTTATATATTCAATATCTATATCTATAAAGGAAATGTCTAAGCAGGTTATATACATTGTGATTTGTGCTTGAAAACCTTAAGTGGTGTCAGCTGATTTCATTTGTACCGTATGTTATTTACTGCTGCAAGATACAACTGGGAAACATTCACATCTTGCCATATATGCATATATATACATTTATAATGGACCCATGTTATTTATATAAAAGCATTTTTTCTAGAATTACACACTCAAATGAATAAAGCATCTCTGTTATAGCTTGTGTTGCTGTGAAAACCTACAGTGGCACATTGTAATTATACAAAAGAGCAACTTCTCAGCTTTAAAGCGGCTGATGTAACACAGTAAAAATATCAACACACAGGTCCTTTAGCACTTTATAAGAAGCAGTGTCGTTTTGTATGACCATGTCATTCAGCTGCACACTCCAGAGAGCAAGAAGAAATGTTTTTCTTGTAGGATTAATTGGGTGAAATCCTAGTTCTGTGTCAAAAAAACATTACATTTACACTTTTCAGGAAGTTATGCAACTTATGTATACACAGTAAGTCTTGGTAATCCTCTCTCTGGGTAATTTACACTGGTGCTTCTTACTGTTAAGATGATGTAATCTTCCTCAAGATGGCAGTGTGGTGAATAATCTCCCACTGCAGTAAAGACAAACGCGAGTTCTCTCCTGTCTTAACCTAAGCCAGGTCAACTGAGGAAGCCCACTGGGTTATATCTTGTCTTCGGACTTAAGTATCTGTAAACCTTCCTGTTACACCCCTCTCATCATTTACTCATGACTAATCTACAGGTAGGCCCACCCTGCCAGATCACCACATGAAGTTCAGGTGAAAACCCTCAGACAGTAGATGAGCTAATAGCAGTAGAGTCATCGAAGAACCTTAAACAAGATGTTTGTATGACAGAATTAATAATAACCTTGGTTGCTCTCAATGATTTTCTGCTCCAGCTTCTTTTTAAGCTCTGACACCAGAGCAGAGCTGACATTCCCCTCTTTGCGGCGATTGGATTTAGCTTTCTTTGAGCCTTTGGAAGCCAGCGCACCAGATATTGTTGGGACCAGGGTACCAGATATTGTTGGGACCGCCCGGGGCCTCTCATTAGCCCGGGTGTTTGAAGGAGGCGGAGGAGCGCTAGGGGGCGGAGGCTTCGGCCTGGGGCTGCTGGGGCGCTGCTGTTGGTTGCTCTCTTGGTCATCGATAAGGAACTTATCTGCCGGGTTGTTGAATTTGACGGCAGGCATCTTGAAGTTCCAGGGCTGCTGGTCCCTGGGTCGCCTCTTGATGATGCGACGTGCCGGCATGATCCTGTTTGACTTTGAGTTGCGCATGTACAGAGCCGTAGAGATCAAGACAGTCACCCCTACCAACAAGCTTATGATAACAGTGACCATGCCTAGAGCTTTCAAAGGATTGTCCCTACTTTTCATTAAAAAGGCCGCCATAGGCCCCTTGAGAGGAGTCTGTGAAAGAGCACAAATAAAATAGTTTAAATCAAGTCCAAGGGACTGAATCCAAGCGTTAACGCAGCATTTGTCCGAAGCATGCAAGCATGAGATGGATGCGCAAAGCACTGACAGAGGAGGCCCAAACAACATGTCTAGAAACAAAGTGACACTCCCACACTCTCACTCAGTCATCCATCATTCTCTGTCCTACAGTACAGGACTGCAAAGCTATGAACTATGCACAACACTAGTTGTTAGGAATGCATCTGGCAGTGCGGTGCATGAGGACTTCTTTTTGGCATGTGACTGATGAGGGCTGAACAAGAACAATGACAGTTCATCACACCGAAATGGAGTGAAGAGCATGTTTGTGTCAGAGTCATGCTCTAGAAAAAAAAGTATTTTAGATTATCAAAGATGGGGTTTGTTGTTATGATAAAAATACCAAATTTTCCAATCAAAGATTTAAACAAATTTAAAAATAAGAAAAAAAGAAAATATAAAAAGATTCCTCTTTTATTGTTATATAAATATTCCTTCAAATGTGCGTCAGTACTCTTTTACAGACAGTAGCAAACCAGTAAAAAATAAATATCTTTTTAAAGGTTACAAATCAAGTTACAGGTGCCAAATGTCTCTCATTTGATCCTGCGCACCACTTTGATATAGTTACTCTCAGGGTTGATTCGGGACTTTTTCACTGCGTTACAGTACAGGATTGTGGATATGCAGATTGTTAGTAGGATGAGGGAACTGACAATGCTGAGACAAATTCCAAAAACAGTCAGTGGACGCTTGCTGAGGCCCATCAAGTATGAAATAATGCGACCTTTGATCTGAAAAAAGCACGAATCACAACAGAGAAACAACACCAAAGATACCGAGTCATCTCATCATGTAGTGAAGGAATGAAAACATAATGAAAACATGGTAGGTAAAATACGAGTTAATGTAAATGACTGAAAAACTTTAAAGGATAATGCCGCTGTTGTTTTAGATCTCAAATTTGTATCTTTAAATTTACTGAAGAAACAAAAAAACAGTATGAAGTGATGCTTCTAACTATTGTTATATTTGCAGCCATATAATTTATTTCCCTGTGCCATAAAATTATCCAAATCTTTTAAGAAAATGACAAAAAAATGGTAAAAATGAGTAATAACCAACATTAAGAAATGTTGAATTAATAGGAAATTTAATGTCAACAAAATGAAGATAATTATTAATGCTATTAGTAATGCTATTGTGCTGTTATTTAGTTTAGTGTTGCATACACTGCAACATTTTATATACTGTATTTAGTATTTGTTAATGGTTAATAACTGATTTGTAAAGCATCTATAAACATTATTTGGACGGCTATACCTTGATAAATGGCTAATAAAAACAGTGTAATACATAAACACTGCAACTTTGTTAAGACCACCCAAATATTTATAGATGGATTTATAAATGTTTATAGATGCACTTCACAGTACCTATCACCCATTTAAGAAGGTATTAATCAATAAAACTTTATAACAGACAAATCAAATCAAATATTGTTAATAGATGATTTACAAACAAATTATTAACCATTAATGAATAGTTAATATGGTATATAAATGTTACAATGTGTACAACATTAAACTGTTAGGGATAATTAATGGCATTACTAATAATTAGTAACATTATTAATTATAACTTCATTGTTTATTAACAGTTAAATAACTATTAACTAAAGTGTAACTAACTATCAAGTTACCATTTATTAATGATGGTTAATATTAGGGGTTACCAAAACCTTGATGAACATGGCCCCTACAATTATCCTGAATTTTGGGTTTTTCTTGCAAAATAAATAAATACTAATGAGGCATCCTCTATGAATAAGTTGTAAATTGTAACCTGTGGTTTTTAATAGAATTTACTAATATTTTATAAATCAGTCCTTCATAGGGACAACCTTTGGGTTACCAAAATGCGACAAATCCTTTTGAGTAGTGGCTTGGATCAAATTTCTGTTATTCACATTATGCACAGTTTCGACTTTATACATTAAAAACATTGTACACTTATTTAACATTTATAGCTGTGAACTTGGTAACGATTAGACAGTGCTACTTTATTATAACTACCTGTAATGGGAAATTGTGGCTTTTAGTAGGAAACCCAGAGAGAATTATCACCAGCTCTGCAGCTCAATGGAGCTTTTTAGCCTCTTTTAGCTCATTGTTTTTGGTTCTACATCACATTTAGTGTTTCCCACTACAGCACGCAGCTGTTTTTAATGAAAAAGCTCTGATAAATCAAATGTATCACAAAGTTAGCAACTGGCTAGTTGAAAAAGAAGAACATCTAACTTAAGAGTCACTGGTTTTGGTCTCTTCATGGGGCTTGTTGGTAAAGTTAGAAGCATTAAAATGAGCGGCATTATCCTTTAAAGAATATGAGCTCAATGAATTGTGACTGGCTGTAACAAGGATGCTGAATTAGCAGCTGCATAGCATGACAACAATGCCTATTATCATTAAAGCTTAAATCTGCTGCCTAGAGCTTGGAAAAGGAAGCGCTGTGAGCATGCTGCAAGATAGAACTACGTCTTACCGCCTCTGTGATATCGATGTTGACCACGGCGGTTGTGCTGAAGGATGGGGAGCCTCTGTCCCTGGCTTGGACCACAAGAGACCACTTGCAGTCCTTCTGCTTGGTGATGTTTCGCACAATCTCCATGGACTTGATGAACGGCTTCAGCTTGATCTCCCCGGTGTCTGAGTTGATGTCAAACGCGTTGTCAGGATCGGCCCTCATGATGGAGTACTCGATGACGTTGTTCGGAGACTCTGCATCATCGTCTACTGCCTGTAAAAAGTAGCAGAATACCATAAAATGGTTTATTCATTTTAAAGGGATAGTTCTGATTTTTTGATGTGGGGTTGTATGAGGTACTTATCCAACACATTCTCATTCTGACCTCGTCACATATCGACGTTTAGTCATGGGCTTCCCACGTCCAGATACGACGTGCAAAGTACCCTGGGTGCATTGGCTGTTGCCGTTCTAGGACGCTGTGTCAAGTTCTGCCTGTTACATGCATTGTCTTCTTTCAAAATACACCTTACCTTACATCATGCCTTTTTCACAGGAAATTTACTGTTTACATACAGTCTCTATTAAAAATAAATGCACTACGTCAGTACAACACTGCACCCTTTTTGCCAACAACATACAACAACAAAAACATATGGTTGGGTTTAGGAAAAAAGAGCAGGGTTTGGCTTTATAATCTTATGGGACGCAAACACCACTCTCTTGGGTGAAGGTCAGAGTTTGTTGGACCCATCCGCCACCAGTCCCACCCAACCTACTCGGACTTTCATCGCCTTGACTTTTGTTCTTGTCCCGCCACGTTTCCTCCTGATGCCACCAAGCGCCGATAACCTATAAAGGCGACCAGACGCTTATCATGCTGACATTAATGGATGGCTTTTTTTGTCAGCATCTGACACCGCAAGTCACTGCCCACTCCCCTGTTTTCAACGACTTATCCATAGTCAGTATATTACCTACAGTAGGTGGAGGTCAGCACGCGCCCAGTTTGGAGGAACAGGCATGAGTACCACCAAAGCAAAACGTATTTTAGCCATCTAAAAAAAATCAACATCAGCTTAGGTGTGCACTTTATTTAAATATTTTCATCACTTAACTTGGCTGTCAGACAGCCCTTTCCAATGCATGACTAAACTGAAACCAGCCAACTTCTCTTCAAAGCCAGGCTCCATTGACAAAATCAGATATTGGTGGTCTACTGCTGCCTCGGTCAGTTAGTTTCTGTTATTGTGTGACTTTGATTGATTCAAACTAACCCTTTAAAACACCAAAGTCACACAGTAACACAACCAAAATTACCCACAAAGCAGTGGTCGACCAACAACTCACATGTTCTGTGAAGTATAATTACTGGTTTTGTCAATAGAGTCTGGCTTTGAAGAGAGCATTGATAAGTTTTAGAGTTTGTTCAGTTCCTTGTCATGAAAGGAAGTCTGACAACAAGGTAATGCAATGAAAATATCCAGAATATAGCGCACTCTTAAACTGACAATGATTTTTTAAAGTTTTGCTGCTGCCCCCATCCACAGCAGTACATTACTTAGCTTGATGGTACTCCTGGCTGCTTCTCCAAAGTGGGAGCACACCAGCCTCATCTACTGTAGGTAACACACCGACTATAGATTAGTACCTCAAACCACCCCACTTAAAAAAAAAATCTGAACTATTATTTTAATAAGCTGCATACTGGACTGCTAAAAATACACACAAATGCCCACATGGCAACCTTTGCTACACAGATATTTTAAAAATACAATTTTCACAAACAGCTGGGCACTGTATTTCAAATAAACACAAGCAAATACTGCATTTATTTGGGACTATTTTTTATCAATGGATTAATCGTATGTGGTAACAATGGAGCTCTATATCATGAAGGAAGTAGCCATATTAGGCTTTAAATATCACCAGCCTTATCCTCTAGTTTTGGCAGTAATGATTTGTTTTCAAACATTTTATTTTTTTAAACATTAATTTATTTTGATATTGGCCATCCTGGACTTCCATATAATGTCTCTAAATGTCAGTGTGATCACAAACAACTTGTGTTTTGATCATTTTATAGCACAAGGGGGAAATGATGTGACACTACATACCTCTACTTTGACAGGTGTACCAATGATCATGGTCTTCTCCAGGAAAGTTTCATCAAACGCTGGAGGGTGGTCGTTCATGTCGAGGACGGTGACAAAGACTTCAGACAAGCCGTACTTTCCCTCCGAATCTTCAGCCTTGACGTAGAAGTTGTACTTAGACCTGACCTCTGCGTCCAGGCTGGTCCAAGGCTGCGTGGAGATGACGCCTGACATCGGGTGGATGGTAAACCTGCAGGAGGTTCAGACAGTGTATGAGTCATAATAACCACAGCTGTCCATTCTGTGTCAAACACACACACCAGGTATTTCAAATAAAGGCATCCAAATTCACAGCACATCACACCCTGTGAACCTCGACGTGACTCACATCAATAGTTAGCTATATAAAGCAGATTTTATATTCGTCAAGATCAACAAGCTTATCTGATGCTGTTTTTCTGTCATTGTTTTTGCCAAATCCTTCCAGAAATACCCAAATTAATACAAACTGTCTTTGACAAATCTTCAAATTTCAACAGTTTCAAGGCAGGTGCACACTCTTCTTCCGACTCATCAGCACCATCATCCAATTTTGCATGTTTATCTGTCACTGTGTGTTTTCATGCAGATCTGGATCACCAACATTTCCTTATTTCAAAGATCTTATGTGTAGAGATATAAATCTGATTTTCCAGTAGCTGTGTTTAAAACAAGCACTATCTAACAGCAGTGCATGCTCATACCCTGCCTGCTATGTAATAAACCGCATCAGTTTCCTCCAAGACTTTGCAATTCTTCTACACACAAAAACTTTTGCCTTTAGAATAAAGTCAAACCTGTTATGATCACACAAGTATTTTACACATAGGAAATGAATTTACAGCATTGCCGTAGCTTTGTGCTGCTTTATGCTGTCTGAGTGCTTTCCAGTTCAACATCGGGCTCGCTACCATTTTATTCAGCCACCTTTTCTCTCGTTTTCCACTGTGAAAATTCACAAGTTGCCTCGAAACTGATAACTTTCACACAATTAACTCAGGTTGCTGCCGGAAGACGGGCATAAATTCTCACTTTTCCTTCGCTGCATGCTGCCTTGCTTCTCAAAGCTGCCGTTTCTGTGGCTCCAGCTGTCACATTGCATGTTAATTGGCTCTCCCTATGTGAGACAGGCCAGGCTGTCTATTTTTAACCCTCCAATCCAATTAGGAGATTAGCCAGCATCTTGCAGCCATTTTAGAGCGAGCTGTTTGTGCAGCAGAGGGGCCAATCAAAACCGGTTTCCTGCTTACCTCTTCCATCAAAGAAACAAAGATGAATCAAGACTGGGTGTCCTGCTGGCTGAGTTTACCAGACACCCTGAGTCCCTGAGTCATGAGTCATATACACATAAAAATAACTTTTTGGTCTGTGAAATTCACTTTACGGAAGCGCGAGAGTTAAGTATCTGATCAGAGCAAACCTAAACTGGCAGGAGTGAAAGGTTTTGACTCACAAATCTGATCCTGATCCATAAATCGTGTATTTGACTTCACCCCAGCGCCCTGAATCTGGATCATTTGCCTGGAGGAAAAAACAGGATGGAGATTAAACCCCAGATATTTATAGCAGACATAATAAAATATAAGAAATGTACATTTTGTCAGCATGATTATTTACCAATCTGATAAATCTTAATGAATATATAGTTACACGTGGGGGCAAAAACCCAACCAAGGTCACTGAAGGTGGTCCACGGTGTTTTTTTACTGGCGCTGACTGAGGATAACCAGCTAGGGTCTTAAGCTCATGTGGGTGGGGCAGGCTGTAAGTCTCTTCATGTGGTGAGTGGGGATGGAGGTATAGGTCAGCATGATTAACCTTGGAGCAAATTAAGCTTTTTACTCCACACTATGTAGCTTGGACACGCTGCCTGCTCTCAGGATACACGCAATATAATAGAAAAGGAAGAAGCAAACGTGCCCATATTTCTGTAAATAAAAGCCCTGCCTGAGGTAAAACATAAAGCAAACAGAGACATTAATTTCGTAACAAGGACCACCAGAAGCCAGGGAACACCAACCTTTTTTTTGTCTGGCAACAACCTGCTTTCATCTAATGAACTGCACAGAGTAATATGCATTTATTTGAGGATTGGTGGGTATTGGTGGATTATGTAATCACTTTGGATGGGTAAAAGCGGAGTTTAATCTTGATTGACTCACTGTTACAGTCACAACACTGGAGCCTCCAGGGGAGTTCTCTGGGACCCTGGCGATGTAATACTCTGAGGTGAATTTGGGGATGTTGTCGTTCGTGTCCAGCAGGTTGATCACAATGTCAGCTGTTGCACTGAATCTCTCGGGAGTGTCGATTTCCACCGCCAGCAGCTGCAGAGAGAAACATGGAAAGTGTGATCAAATCAGTTTGGAGTCAAGGCTAGCAGCTCTGTCAGGCTACAATGCTCATTGTAATTAAACTGTGGGTGTGTTGGGTGTTTACTTTGCACCAAATTTTTAAATAATCCATCCAGCAATTGTCAACCAAGTTGCCAGAATATAATGTCAGCATTGTGTGTTTCTGCAATGTGCTACATTTATACATTTCATACGTTTCATATCATCGTTTCTAAAGTGATGTATTTCTGATTACACATATACAAGCTGAGATCTCATCAGGAGGCAGAGTGGATGGTGTGAGATTGACGTGAGATGGCTGAGCAGCAGTGTTTGTGAAGACCAACCAGTTATTTTAAGCCAAAGCCTGATCATTTCCAAACCCCAACAAGGTGGGTTTTGTGCCTAAACCTAACCACACATCAACCACAGCACTGTTACAACATAGAATTAAAACGTAAAGAAACTACTACTACTACTACACACGAAATATACAAATTTAAAATACCTGTGGTTTGCAGAAATACAATGCCAACATTTATTTTCATGACTGGATTGACAATAGTTGCAACATTTCCCTCTGAACAACAAATATCAACCAATTGGTGGCGCTAAAGGGAAAATCAGGGGATCACTGAAGTCAATAGGAGTCATCCTCTGGGGACTATGAATATCTGTACCAAATTTCATGACAATCCACCCAAAAGTTGTTGAGAAATTTTAGACTGGACCAAAGTGGTGGACGGTACCATCCCTAGAGCCATGCTGATAGCGTGGCTTAAAATAAATCGGCAACAATTTTAATAAGCGATTAATAGTTTCTCATTTATGAAGTATTATGGCAAGTATTTGCTTAAGTTCCAGCATCTCAAATGTGGAAAGTTGATACTTATAAAACTCAGTTTTATATCACTGTGGACTAAATATCTTTGGGTCTGAAGCTGTTGGTCGGAGCATGGGTGCAGATCCCGGGGGGGACGGGGGGGACATGGCCCCCTCAAATTCTGAAAAACAAAAATTGTCCCCCCCAATTCTAAATAGCTTAAATGATTGAAATTGAACAAATGTATACAGTAGTCCTATATACTGGGAGAAAGGGAAGATGATGAGGAGAAATGGGAATCCGTGAGAGGCGAGATGAGAACGTGAGTGGACATAACATGCCTGAGACCCTGAAACTAGAAGCAGCTTTAACTAACAGCGAAGCAGTAAAAAGGAGGGTGATGGCTGGTTCCATGTACTACTGGCTGTTTAAGAGAAATAAAGAGTAAAGGTAAGCATATGATTCTCTTTGTAGTGCTTTTTGAATGACTTGGTGATGGTGATGAGCCTCTATGAAATCGTGAAATATGCTGGCAATCTCAAGTGCTCTGTGGGCATGATTTGCACGTGTGCAATTAAAAAAAAAATCATAACTGATTGTGTCCCCCCCAAACTTGTCATCAGATCTGCACCCATGGGTCGGAGAAGACGTCATCTTGGGCTTAAACTCTATAAACAGATATCTGCATATGTATGTAGAATCTGAAGGCAACGGCACAAGATTTGGGTATCGAAAGAATTCTGGTTTCCATTTGTAGTCTGAGAAGTATTGACCAACCACATTTATAGACGCAGGTTAAAAAAAAAAACCCAGCTCATAACCCATCAGCTATCGTCTGACGATGATTTAGCTCTATACTAGCTTTTTTAAAAATGTAGCTGCACTCATATGCAGGTACCTGTTTATAGAGATTAGGCAAAATGGCTGGTGCACGGAAGATGAAGTCTTGGCCCGGTTATCTGCTGGCTACACTGGATCTTCCAAAACTTTGGCTTTTCGTCATCAAATTGATATGTGGTGGGTTCTGGATAGTTTTGGGCTCGATCTAAAGTAGGGCTGCAACTAATGATTATTTTCATTGTCGACTAATCTGTCGATTATTTCTTCGATTAGTCGACTAATCATTTAATAGAAAAATGTGTTAAAATGTTGAAAAATGTAGATCTGTCTCACCCAAACCCCAAAATTAAGTCATCTAAAATCTTGTTTCATACTCACGCCAAAGGGTTTTAGTTCACCATCATGGGAGAGTAAAGCTGTGTAAAGCTGCCAATATATGAATGTAAGAAGCTGCAATAAGAGTATTGTGGGGTACTTTTATGGTGCTTTTCTATGAAAAATGACTCAAACCGATTAGTCGACCACTAAAATAGTCGCCGATTAGTCATTCAATTAGTCGACTAATCGTTGCAGCCCTAATGCAAAGCAAATAATCGAATGATCAAAAAGATTTATACACCAAGAGACTAAGAAAGGACAGATTACATATTGTTATAATTTCAGTAACAATCAGTCATAATGGAGAGATGTATAAAGTCTAACCTTAAAAGAAAGTGTTGGTCCCTTTTCGTAGTCGATGCCAGATGTGTCTTCCACAATGATGGTCACCTGAGCTTCATTCAGGACTGTCTGGGGAACCACTCGCAGCACTCGACTCGGCCCCACGAGTCTCAGTTTAAATTTAGCATTTGCACCCTGCAAAGAAACACAAACAGCAAGAATGTAGAACCCTCAAATTAGTCGAATTACCTCGAGTGTAGCTGCCCAGAAAAACAAGAAAATGATCCTCGCGCTCAAGTTGACATCTGGCAGATGTCTTGATGAATGTATGCTACAGCACAGCAGGCACACACACTATAAGGAAGGGCTCAATGGATGAGTAAAGGAAATACCTGATCAGAGTCATTGACGGTGATCTTAAAGCCTCGGAGGATCTCCCCTGCAGGAGGATGCTCGTACATGGTGACCTCAAACTTGCTCTGTGGTCCATTCTCTCCGTAAAAGGTTGGAGGATGGTTGTTGAGATCCACCACCCGGACCGTCACCGTGGTAATGTCAAAGTCCTCCAGCTGATTGTCTGGTCCCACCTCAGACGCCTAGGGTTGAAAATAATAAATTCATTTAGTAGTAGTAATTACAGTAGGTTAAATGTATAAGAGTGTATTCCCAAGAAATGACTGAAACGAATAAAACATTACCTTGACTATGATTTCATATAACTCATTTCTCAGCAGAGTTGGAAGGGTTGTTAGAGTGATGCATCCACTGGTGCTATTTATGTCAAAGACACCATCACTGCCTGAAAGGTGATAAAGGATGTGTCCTAAATGTGTCAAATAAACAGTAAACAAGCTATGTAAGCTTTAAATGTATTCCCTGATGTTTTGTTCTTACCATTTATGATGGAATAATGTATTGGGTTAGGGTTGCCTTGATCTCCATCTTTAGCGTACACGGTGAATATTTCAGAACCCTGGAAGAAAATATAATTAATCTTACACATATTTACTGAAGGTTAACAAAAGCACCTTTACTGGTGTGTGAAGAAGAAGAAGAAGAGGACTTACAGGAACTGAGACTTCGTAGACGTAGCCAAAGTAAGGGGTTCCTATGAAGGATGGAGGCATGTCCTGGGCATCAAGTACATTGATTGTCATGGTGGCTGTAGCAGTCAGAACCTGGTGTTTGCCCTTGTACTTTCCACCTCCATCCTGGAAAAACAAATAGTGAGACAGAAGACAAATTGAGCACTTTTTTTAAAAAATGTCTGAAGTTATGATTGCATGATATGAGAAGAACAATATTACTTGAAATAAACAAAGAGATATTAAGGTGTCTTTGCTGCTTTTGGTATATTACAAAAATATAACAAACTGATTGTTGAATTAAAGAAAATGAAAGTAAAATATCTCTAACTTTTGTTTAATTAAACAAGATGAACATTGAACTGAATACAAAAGGCACCAATCTACTGATAGACTCTTTCAGGCCCGCCCACAGAAACGACTGGGCCAACCAGCTCTCAACCTGCGTCGTCAAATACCAACAAATCGTGCCCCTCAGCATCTCTAGGTGACACACACAGGTCACACAGAAATAAATATTGTAACATGTCATTAATGTAGTGAAATCACACAGGACACAAACGTGTCTCTGGAAAGGAAGTCTGATTATTCTACATGCTGCACATGGGTTTACATCGGAGTTAACTAAAAGCCTAGTATGCCAAAGGCTGCCTTCAATGTTGATATCACACGCAGAGGGCCGTGACAAAGCGTCGGTATGTGACAACTTGGGAATGAGAGTGGAATGGCTGGGCCCCTGAAAAGTTCCATTGACTGGCCCCTCACCAAATCGGCTTGCGCCATGTCATTTTCAGGTGAGGGAGGTTTTAATCATGAAACAAAAACACAGTAAATGCAATGCTTGTTTGTGTTGTTTAAATAAGTATTTGTGAATATTTTGGTCCAAAATAAAATGTGGTCATCATTTGCTTATATTTAGGATGAACATGATTCTGCCCAGAAGGTTTTTCACTTTTCCCCCTTATAGGCGGCCCTGCTCTCTTCTCTGTTAACTTTGACAATGTGTTCCACTTTTTACCCAGCTAAAATCAAACCATTAGAGGCCTCCCACTGGCTGAAAGTAACCTGATGTCTAACCTGAAATGGTTTAATGAGTTTCTTTCAACTTGCTTATCAGAATTACAAAATATAAAATTAAAAAAAACAAAACAAAAAAAAACAAAACAAAAAAAAACAAAACAAAAAAAAAAACAAGCACCACATAATTTGAAATTCACCATAGTTGTCTGTTTAAAACTGGGACGTGAACTTCATAATCTCTCTTAGCATGCCAAATTTAGTACGACTGGGGACAATGGAATCTGTAATTTCATGTTATTATGTTCAGTGACAGCGAAAGAAGCAGAGATCTCATATTTTTCTGTGGCAAAAATGCATGCTGCAGTGTTTTATCTTCATTTAACCATTAGTGAGTAAAACTGATTATATTAATGGAAGTGGTTGCATCAAAAATCGTATA